CCAAAAGGCAGTGCATCCGAGGTAGCTAAGTTCTTCGTCGAAAATATCGTCCTACGTCACGGCGCCCCGGAGGTCCTTATCACCGACAGAGGAACGGCATTCACTGCCGACTTAACTCAAGCGATCTTGGCATACAGCCAAACAAACCACCGCCGGACGACAGCGTACCACCCACAGACCAACGGCCTCACCGAGCGGCTTAACAAGACGATCGCCGACCTGCTGTGAATGTACGTCAATGTCGAACACAAGATGTGGGATGCCATTCTTCCGTATGTGACCTTCGCATACAACACGGCGGTGCAGGAGACGACGCAGTTATCTCCATACAAATTGGTCTACGGAAGGAGCCCGGCAACGACGCTCGATGCCATGTTACCCAACGTCACCGACGAAGGAAAACCTCGACGAAAACCTTCATCGCGCCGAAGAAGCCCGACAACTTGCGCGGCTCCGTATCAAGAATCAACAGACGACCGACAGCCACCGTTTCAACCTTCGACGACGCTTCGTGGAATACCAGCCCGGTGAACGTGTTTGGGTGTGGACGCCGATACGCCGACGTGGACTAAGTGAAAAGCTTCTGCGACGGTACTTCGGACCGTACAGGGTGGTTCGACGTCTCGGCCCACTTGATTACGAGGTTGTCCCCGACGGCATCACGAACTCTTAACGACGCCGATCGCGACCTGACGTCGTCCATGTCGCACGCCTCAAGCCGTTTCACGCGCGTTAACAAACTGAAACAGTGTTTTTTGTATTATTGTTGTATCGTAATTTATTCATTGTACTTTCTTGCATTATTATTGTACCTTCATCTTTAGTTAAAGCATCAAGACGATGCCTTTTTCAGAGGGGGGGCAATGCCACGTTTCATTTCCCAAGTTTTTGTTATCGTCCCAAAACACCACACGATTCTCAGCGCAAACCGCGCCTGCAGTTTTCTAGAGGGTTCCGGACTGTAGTAGATCATTTCGATAAGATCACGCCCACTGTGCGAATGGTACAGATTGTTCTGGAACGCACGCCGCCGCCAGCGACAGCGCTAGAACATTCGACGGCGGGAGTATAAATGCCGACGCGCTTCGCCGCTTGTCAGTTGTTGATCGAAGGCCGACGCTCCGTTCGCCGCTATCAGCCTGAGACTGCTATCTGTGCGAGACTGCTGCTGTAATTGGACTTTCTGTTTACCGGGCACAGGTTCGCCCAAATAAACAGTTAAATTCCAACAAGAAGTCTCCTGTCTTCGGCCACGTCACGACCCTGTGACAATATTACTAATGTTATAGCAATGGTATTACCCTATTCTGAACTTGTAAATTATTTTAATTAAAAATGTATTATTCGTTATGTTGTGAGTGTGCTACATCGTTTACACTTATTGTATTTGTATTATATTTTCTAAGGGGCTCACAGGCACCTGCATAAACACGCCAATAAAACCGTGTACACAAAACTTTCCTTTGAAAGAACGAAATCCCTATTAAAAATCTTGGGTTGGTGGATGCTGGAATCGTTGGTGGATATGGTGGAAAGAATAGTGAATATGGTGGAAATATTAGTGGATATGATGGAAAGTAGTGGGCATAATGGCTAATGACAGCGATATTAGAAATGTGATGTATATGGTTGTGGTAGTGGCGAGCCAATGGTACTGACGGCGGAATACGCCGGCTGATGACGACCAGAGTGGAAACAATGGTGGCAAATGGTGGTGGTGGTGGCGAGCCATGGTGGTGATGGTTGAAAATGCCGGCTCATGGTGGCGAGGCAAAAGGTGTTTGATGGAAGACATGGTGAGCAAGTTGGATGATGGTGGCAGGATGAAAAGCACATGACAGCATTTGAAATCACTTATTTGTAGTGTTTCGTTCTTGAATGCGCAGAGATATATGCATACGGCCAAAAAAACTAATGCTGCTGATTACGCTTTCCATACGTTTTTTTTATTACTGTGGTGGCGACAACACTTCAAATTTTGTGTAGCATAAAATATGCGGCCGGGAATATGTTTACATTTCGCGCACGTACTTACATCAGTTTTACACTCACGATGTGTTCCTTTGTTGTGATGTTTTGAAGATTTCAAATGTCACTGTGAATATGACAATAATTTTTTTTGAATGGGCGCGCAGTTGTCCACAAATAAATTGCCTCTAGTTGGCAATTGCCCCTTTCAATGTTAGAGCAGAACACAGTGGTCACTCGATGCCGCTGCGCAAGAAACGAAAGTCTGGTAATTCTTGCACACTCTATTGTTTGAGCTGTACCTTTACGTTAACAAACTGCGTGCGAATCGGCTTAAACTTTCCCTTTCGACATGCGTTGAGGTGAGCCGCAGTGAATTTGACTTTCACCCTTCTGTTCTACCACCATAATTTACACCAAAGGTTTGTCATACCGACCGAGCCCCTACAAGTGTTATCGGCCCTTCTGGGTTTCAGAATACACAATTTCGACAAGTAAAATTGAGAATACAGCACAACTGCGGCATCATTTAACCTAAATTAAGCCTTTTTTATTGTGTACGGTGTCCGCGCAAGAAGCGACAAACATTGATGCGACGCGCTTGCGGCACTTCTATCAAATGTACGCCTCCCCTCACTGATAGCAGCCGGTCACACTCGCTGGCACTCACTGGCTCTTATGCGAGAACATAGAGACGCCAATTCGTATGCTTACTGAACCAATATGATAGCATAATGTTTCTGGCGCACTGCATTCATTTAGGGCAAGCCGTTATGTAGTTGTTGCTAACGACAGAGCAACAGCGGTGCGCTGGCACGACTGCGCTGTGCGTTGCGCAAAAAACTCCAAAACCAATTGTGTGGGTGTATCTATTGAATGAGTGTCATAAAGCCTGAAGTGATATCGCCCTTTGGAAGCAGCGAGAAACGAATAATAAACTTGGCAGTAACTGCCGATAAACTCAGTCCAGTGAGTTGTATTTTTTTGCTGTTGTATATTGTAACAAAAACAAAGCGCTGTTGCTATTATCGCAGTGCCAATTGCTACAGGCAGCAGTTGTTCATGTTTATCAAATGTGCAAATTTTAGTAGCAGCTGCAGGTCCCGTCCCTCCCGAGTAAACGACAAACAGATCTGAAGTTAAACATTGACTTTTTGAGTTGACTACTTCTTTAACACCCAATCGCCATCTGTTGGCGTGGCACAGTGTTTGGTGTGCTCACTTAAAAAATTGGATATGCAGGTTTGATTCTGTGCTGTCGCACTTTTAGTATTTTACGGGTGCTTTCTACATCGCTTTCTATACAATTATGTTTATTATTTCTTTAGTGGCAGCTCGTCACGGTGGTTCTGATGCTGTTTCACACTCCAGCATTGCCGGTTGGAGCACACCATCCACCATCCGCTCCACCATATGCCACCCTGCACCATGTGCCACTAAAATTTTCACCGCCATAATCCACCAAATGGTGAATGGTGGAATCCGCCATTCCTATGATGGACATTTTTTCAATAGGGATGTGGGTGATTATAACATTAAACTACTCCCCGTTGCTTCCTTCTGAAATTGTCTTTAGCTGTTTATGATTGGTTCAAACAGTCTTTGTTATGCACACAGCACCAGCTTGTTACGCGAGGCGGCAAATGACGCGACAATGAGCTAATACGTGATGACCACTTATGCACGACCACGTTAAAAATAAAAAATGAGCTATTTACGAAACGGCATATTATTTGCCATTGGGTCTCCGGCAATTAAAATTTTCTGTGCGCCTCGAAATTGCCTCCTTTCTATATGATTTCACGAGGCTGGAGAGCATCTCCTTCTGAATGTAATTCAATTAGGCTAGCTGCCAATCACAATAGCACCGGCTACATATAGCAGCTGGCAAGATGAATTATGAGTATATAAATTTTTTCCACTTGCAGCATAACTGTGTCTAGTAGTTTGTATGCGTATACACCTCTCTCAGCTCATACTTGCTTAGAGAAAGAGGAATGGAAAGAAATAAGCAGTGCTGCACTTGTGCGCCCATTTACTGTCCTAGATGTATTAGGAGCTATAAAACACAATTCAAGTTAAGTAAAATCAAGTAGGCCGACTCTTATCTAAGCCTCCTTAGTGCTAAGAACCACGGTCTTTCCTCTTCTTTCTAGTCCGGTGGATGTTGTTAGACAAGCTTAAAAGCTTAGCTTCCTACTGAGCTGGAGTTCACTGCTTTATTCATGGCCACTTTGAAAGCTGCTGCTAAAGCTCCAACTTAGCATAAGCAAGGCTGATCAGGTTTATCAGAGACTAACGCGGAAATAATTTTTGGCGTTTATATGCAGAAAAAATTGAACATCAGAAACGATTCGTCACACTCATCGGTTCGCAACAGCTTCTACAGATCAGCGGTGATGATATACACTTTTCGAAGAGAATTATTTTCCGGAAGCAGCAAATGCTTTGACCAGCCTTTGAAAAAACTTTGATTGTTCCCGTCTGTAACTGCCGCAACAAGTCACACCAGAATAAAGGCATGAACAAGGGATGTAATTTTAGAGGGCCCCTGTTCAGCGCTTGCCTCCTCTGCACTGTTACAGCACAAGACGCGAAAGCGTCGCATAGGCGACGCGCACCGCGAAAAGCCTACAAAAAAAATCATCACAGCCGAAATGTTGGCGAAATTTCACTGTGTTGTAAAATAGCCTCGTTACCTTTTTAATCTCCCGTTCGAAGAAAACTCAGTGATTACTGTTGTAACGGAAAACTTCGCCTTACTTGTAAGTTTATCCTGCGTGCAGCCAAGAGAGACCACTGTCGAAAGTGGGGAGGCTCAGCCCCTCAACTTTTCTTAGTCGGGAGGGCTCGCGCCTCCCTTGCCCCCGCCTCCGGCTGATAGAATAATGTTCGAACGGCGCGTCGTCTTTTTCTGCCCTGTCTCTAATTACGGACACAGTTATCAACCGTAATCTTTTGCTCGGGATCATCCCTCCTTCGTAGTACACTTTCGTGCTCAGCCGTGTGAAAAAATGAAATTTGGCATAGACCTTTGGCAGCGGGACGGGCGTCACGGGTGGCTTGGTCCTCACTGGCAACGGCACTGTCCAGTTGAGTACACTGCTGGGTGGACACTCATCTGGGAATAAGATGCCGCAAATCTCGGCAGGACTCATTGTTGTGTGTCCAAGTACGTAGAAGAACTCGTCCTGCGCATAAGCAGTCAGGAAGTAGTCTGAAGAAAAATACCTCGTAGCGTAATTCAAAGGAAAAAGACGAAATTGTTGACCGTTAAAAAACCAGTTTTTCCCCCTTAGTTGGAAGAACGCATTCTTTTATCTTGTATCATCTCAGCTTCCCATAGAAGCAATGAACTGCTCTCCGCACAGCTTTTCATGGTATATTAGTATCAGAGTTTTCTACACTTGCAGTCATGCAAGTGGGAGAAGTAGCATCAGTGACCAACACTCCCAGAATTAAATGCACATACATGCTAATTGAAGAGAACGGAAGATGACAGCTGCTTAACTCGGTTGGTAGAGCATAGGACGCCTTATTTGAGAATCACCGGTTTGGATATTTCTGACGGTAAGTGAACGTTTTGTCCACTTATTTTTCTTCCCATTTAAATCGCAATAACTAGAAATAATGTCAACTATGCTTTTCTTGGTTCTTTGTTCTAACCATATTGTGTCTAGCAAGGCTGACGAGAGAGCAATACGTATTATGACTGTAAGAAAAAACAGGAAGGAATTAAAAAGCAATAACCCCACCTTTCCCTTCGAAAAACGATAAACCGTAGACTGCAGGACATAGAGCAGGAGTAAATTGTAAAGAAGAAAGTAAACTAAGAGGAACTTTCTCCGTAATACGTCGAATGTGTAGAGTACAGTACAAGAAAATCATGAAACACCACTGCATAAGCAAAACATGCAGTTATGAAATGACAGCATACAAAACATCAAAAACGCGCATTCGTTTTTAGTCAAGTAATGCATGTATAAATCAGTAGTATGGCACAGAAAAAATCTAACCTGGCACCGATACTTTTGCCTTTTTATATTTTGAGGAAACTATACCGATGACCCCAATACATGAAACATCCTTCGACGTCAGCCTAAGTTTTCTTGCTCACCCAAAGCAAGTGCTCCGAGGCCTTCTGCAGCGGTGCAGAGACTGTTCCTCTTCATCAACAAGCGTTCATCACCCCTAAGCATTTCTACTCAAGAAAAGGACCGACTACATCGTGAGAGTCTCCTGGGTTTGAACCACAGAACGGGCACTTGAAAAATCACATGTAGACAAAGTGCAGCCGTACGACACAATATACTGTTGGAAGAGTCCGTCAAACAGTCTGCGTTAAAAAATACGGATGGCACTCTGCATTTCTGTGTCAAATATTGCCGCCTGAACGAGATCACAAAGACAACGTCTTCGATCACCTCTGAACCGTAAAACGCTTCTCTTCACTGGACCTCCAGAACGGAACAAAAAAGACAGGAGGGGAAACTCCGGGCCGGCGCCAGCGCGAGCATGCGCCACGATAATGTCACCCTGGGAAAAGAGGTTGGCGAACTGGTGTAACTGTATATGGTCCCTACGGGACCAGTGTAGCGCATCTGTTTCTAACGCCGCCGGTGCCGCCAACGCCGCCAGCGTCGCCAGCAAGCATGCATTGCGGAAAAGCTGAGGCAGAGGCAAATTTTGTGTTTTCCGACGCCACCGCTGCACTGGCGCGAATCATCGCCAGTCAAGTTCAAAGTGAATCTGGCTGGTCATTGCCCTAGGGGTAGGTGTTTCGTGTTCACCCCTTTTATGAACACGGTTTATGGATGCATGGGGGTGACTGAGGACCAGCTTCATGTGCGCACCAGGTCTGCAGTTTTACGCTCTACCATCACAGTAGTACATCACAGCCATCAGAATGCTACTTTGACTGCGTGCTCGGCTACAAACTGTAGCGATTGCTCGGAAACCGGCAAGGCTTTTTATTCTATTCCATGAGGAAGAATGATCATGGTTCATCGGCTGCAGTGGTTGCTTCGAATGCAACGGCAAAAACCTATTTCGATGGGGGTCAAAGATATGCGAGGTGAGATTTCCTTCGAACAGCTTACTGTGAGCTGTAGCCCGTGTAATCAACGTATGTTATCAATACGACAATTCCCTGACGAATGTTTCTGATACAGTCGAAACATGACGTATCAGGCACACGCGCTCGTTATGCCCCATCCAATATTAATTCTGCATAGACATTTTTGTGTATGGACGCACTCGCTGCTACCTCTGCAATGATGTGACAACATGAGGAATGTATGTTACAGTAAGGCGTGACTGATTTATCTTGTTCAGATGTTTTCTGCGTAATTGAGTTACTGAACTTAGAAAGCAGAGGTAGGATAGTTTTGTTAAAATAAAGCTGCTGTTAAGACGCACCACATAACGAGCTCAGTACCGCAGCTGTCCAGCTGTGCTATCGCAATAGCCTTGGTTTTGTAAAATGGCAGTTTCCGTGAACTCGTACAGTTCTCAAAAACAGAAGAGTAAGATCTATTGAGCATGCTCATTTGTTGGGTGCATTACGCACACTAAAAGCATGTTTGGGAGATAAACACTTGGTAGGACAACAATTATAGGAATAAAGCCATCACACACTCGATCGAGTAGTATTGATTAGCAATTTGTGCTCTGTATGTGCACTGATATGATATATAGGGTTTGACGTCCAAAACAACCTTATGATTATGAGAGACGTCATAGTGGAGGGCTCCGGAAATTTCGACCACACGGGGTTCTTTAACGTGCACCCAAATCTGAGCACAAGGGCCAACAGCATTTCCGCCTTCATCAAAAATGCAGCCACCGCAGCCGGGATTCGATCCCGCGACCAGCGAGCTGTGTGTTCACTAGGCATGCAGGATCATTTCACTCCTGATCAATTTATGGATGGAAGATTTGAACGGAATGGAAAAAAGTTGAAATCAAACGCTGTTCCTAGTATTTTCTCTCGTAAGTAAACAGCAACATATGTTCATACTGTGCTTGTTGAAAGAGGCTTTCATAATTTTATTGAACATTGGTTATTATGTTATGTTCACAATATACACAGCTGACTTTTGGAAGACCAGTGATGGAACAGTGCTTACCGGACTTGGCTAATGACATGAAATTCAGATATTCAATCCCAGCCAGGGCAGTTGCTTTTTGATGGGGGCAAAATGCTAGAAGACGATTTAGGTGCACATTGTACGAGCCTCACGTGGTCAAAATTTCAGAAGCCCTCCAATACTACCTTACTTATTTTTATATCTTAATTCCTGATTGTAAAACCCCAAAATAATTATAACACAGTAGCACAAGGTGCACCTACCATACTTCAGGCAGCTGTACCTGAGATTATATGATTAATCTTGTAGTTTCATTCAGCGGTCATTGCTGCCGCCATGAGTGCAGACAAATGCTTGCTCGTGTGAAATGGCATGTTTAATAATGCGCGCACCGGGCACTTCTTGAGTAACCCTAATGTAGGTTTTCCCTAGTGCAAGCGAAATTTGTTTTCACAATTTTTCTGAGGTGTATTTCTTTTTATCATGCAGAAAATTAAGAAGTTTAGTGCTTTTCTTCCACGCCGGACGCATTTGTTCGTAAGGCTATAATCTTGTTCTTGTCGCTTCGTGCAGCGTGCACTCCAGCCCAAATGAGTGCAGACAGATATCTGCTCGTGTGAAATGGCACGGCAAATATTGCGTACAGCAGACACTTACTTGTCATGTAATTCTGATATAGTTTCTCCCAAGTCCAAGCGAGTTTTACTTTTATAGTTTGCACACTGCTTGTTGGAGGCAAGTTTCACATATATAGGATTGAAACGGAGGAATGGACTGTTGTGCTGTACCTATCTCTGCATGCAATGGGCATTCTTTATCTGAGAGCGCATGTATATTCTTCAAGCGTGATGGCAGATGAATCATTAGGAGGCTTTTTAAGTGTTTATGACTACTTATTTGCTCGCAGATGGGATGAAAAGAAAACTTTTAAACGCTAATGCTAGTTTGACAATCTTGCCTTCTTCACTGCTTGGTAAGTTACTGAATAAGAGAGTAGTTTTCTGTCATACGATCAATATTGATGCTAGTGGTAAGCTTATCTACTTATCTCTCCGCAGGGCGCAAATCATCAGTAAAGTCAGAGAGAAAAGTAGAGCTGGAGCGTTGCCTGAATCTAGAATACAAGCAACGGCACAAAGCAGAAAGCAAGCATGAGACACAGCTTCAATCAGCGGCAAAGGTTCTTTTATCTGACCAAGCTCGTGTGCTGGAGAAGGGCACGATGCGAGGCAGTTCATGGTCTTTTGAGACTATTCAGAAAGCTCTGGATTTGAAAGTTGCGTGTGGCACCAAAAGCTATTATTTTGTAAAAGAGAATTTTGTGCCCCTACCAGCAAAAAGAACTTTGCAAAAGCAAACTCAGCACCTAAAATTCAGGCCAGGTGAATTTGATAGGCAATTTTAAAGAAAAATTTTGCAAACCCCCGATCTTCCAGGAATCCGTAAAGCAGTCGAGGTGTAATTTATAGTGTTGCATTGTTTAGCTTTGAGTCAAGCATTACGAAGTATATGGATGCGTTTTCATGAGTGTAGTTGTTATGTGCACACTATAGGTAACCAGGAAAGTCTACTAAACTAGCATTCAAAGGGCAACATATTGTCTGATGTAACATCAGCACTCACGTTAAAGCACAGATGTCACTATTATCAAAATGAAGTGTACTTCATGGAGTGAGTTCTATGGTACTAATGTCAAGAGCATAGAGTCGTATACGTCATGCCCTCTGACGCTCCGATACCTATATTTTGTTCTGCCGCAAGTGAAGGAGGCAATCACAAGAGCACCCGGAAGTAGGCAGCTAGTTAGACAGACAGTCAGCCAAATACAGAAATAGATATTGTAACATGACATCTGCAACGAGAGGGCATCAGGTAGACGAGAAAGATGATGAATGCGATGGTGCTCGTGTTGTTGTTGCTGTTGTACCTCCATCTTGGCCACGGCTGTCTCCGACTCTCCTGTATATTTTGTCATTATATTTATTTCAATCATTCTCTCACACCGTGACATTTGGTGGTGGTGCGGGGTACAACATAATATAATGATGCTTCGCAGTGGCCGACGTTTGGATTTTTCCACCATGAGAAATCAGGGACCCGCT